AAAAAAAAAAAATCAAGTGGATAAAAAAAAAAAAAAAAAAAACATTCTGGACAAAACTCAGAAGCCCGTATTCTCAGAATACGTTTTTTTAATTAAATTTAAAAAAAAAACGTATTCTCGTAATTGGTTTTAATATTATATATGCAATGTAAAACGTATTCTCAGAATACGAGCATTTGATTTTTGTTCACATATATTTTTTTTTTGTCCAGTTAATTTTTTTCTTTTTCTGTTGGGGTAAAAAAAATCCCCACCTGTAGCATGGCTGCGGAGGCCCTGTGCAGGTGCACACAGGCACATTCATTGCAAGCTCGTCGAAATTTATCCGATTCATCCCCAAATTGTCCTTCCAAGACTCACTCCCATCACTCCCGAACCCCTGTTCATCTTCCTCCCAATTATTACAAACTGAAGCAGAAGAGTTGCTCCTCTTGCTAGAAGCCCTCTTTGCGCGCTTCCCTCTCATGTGCTGTTGTGGTTAGGGCTCTCGTCTACAACTGTTGCTTCTGTGTTGCTATGGTGCAAGCGGATGGCTTCGTCGCGTTCGTAAATGGCCGCGTTGCGCTCGGCGATGGCGGCGTCCAGCTGGTGTAATGGCCATGTCGCGCTCCGCAAACGCGCGCTTGTGCTCCTCCAGAGCCATGTTGCATTCGCGGATGGCCGCATCACGCTCAGCCGTGATGGTTATGAATGTCTTTATGGTTAGATGGTTGTTATGCTCCTTTTCAGGTTACAAAAAAAGGTAAAATCGTTTGTCAGGAACTATTTCTATTTTGATTTGAATTCGGACATGATGGGGTTTTACGTAAGCATTATATATATGCGGAAATTCGGAGAAGTGAAATCGGGAATGACAGATCTGATGTGGTGCTATCTAGAAATAAGAGTGTTGTGTACTTTACCATCAATAAGAATAGCGGTTAATCTAGAAATCCATCACAGAAGTTGAATTTGAATTCCCTGCAAGGGAAACAAAATTTATCAGGTATCAGCAAGGGCATGCAACAAATTTTTGATCATTTGATACTTTGATTCCAGAATTATATCCTGAATAGATATGTTTTGGAAGATGAATTTATTTATTTTAACTATCCAAGAAAATGGAAAAATTGGAAAGAAAGAGAACAAGTAGAGATAACTGCTCTATCTATGGAGATGTCTCCTAAGACGTCTGAGGAGATAGAACAGATGAAGACAGTTCCTTATGCTTCGGCAGTAGAAAGTCTCATGTATGCAATGTTGTGCACTAGGCCGGATATTAGCTATGTCGTTGGCATGGTAGCTAGATATCAAAGTAATCCGGGAAGGGAACATTGGTCTGCGGTGAAGCATATACTCAAGTACTTATGAAGGACTAAGGAGTACATGTTAGTTTACTGTGCACGCAGCTTGTTACCTCTGGGTTACAATGATTCCAATTTCCAGTCATATAGGGATGAAAGTAATTCAACCTCAGGTTATGTGTTTACCTTGGGGAGTGGAGTCATTTCATGGAGGAGTGCTAAACGAAAATGTGTGGCAGACTCCACCATGGAAACCGAGTACATAGCTGTCTCAGAGGCAGCGAAAGAAGCAGTTTGGCTCTGGAACTTCTTAGTGGACTTAGAGGTTATATCGAGTTTGCCACGTGGTATCACCGTGTACTGTGATAACAGTAAAGCAGTAGCAAACTCAAAAGAACCTCGAGCCCACAGGGTAAGCAAACACATAGAGCACAAATACCATCTGATTCGGGATATCGTTGGTAGAAGAGACGTTGATGTTGCTAAGATTGCATCAGAGGACAACCTAGCTGATCCTTTCACGAAGAGTTTACCGGGGAAGGTCTTCGTCAAACATGTGGAAGGAATGAGAGTCATGAGCATGGCAATAGGATCGACATTGGTCTTTTATAATAACGGATTGATAGGACTATACTGTAAAAGAGAAAGCTTTAAGTATAAGTGGGAGACTGTTAGTGTTATATACTGAAAGCTTGGCTTTGCATGTTATTACACATTTGTCCTTTATGAATGAGAATCATGTTGGATTAAACAAGTTCAACATTCTGTTGTCACTTAGATGGAGTGGTTCATCATCAGGAGAACCGAAAATCACCCTATCAGTTACTTGTAAACAAGAATATATGTTCACAACCTAGATGGACATGAACACCCCATCCGAACGGTTGTAGTGTCAACTGTACAGTTTTTCTTGACTGATTAGTTGCACTAGTACATTTATGTATTGAACAGGATCCCAGAGAGAAGAAGTTCAATTTATACTGATTGTCGTATGAACTAGGCATCGATTAATTACTGCGTTCTCTTAACCTGTAAGATACTAAACAGGTATATATATATATATATATATATATATATATAATATATTACTTTGATTCAAATGGGTGAAGTCCAGTTCGCTGGATAAATATTCCTACTGTTTTGGATAATATTATTATATATAGGATGTGTTGTTAGGATATTTACGGTCACCATGTGCGTTAGTTTGATGATGTCCCCAGAGTGAGTTCATGAAGGATTGTTATGCTAAACTCTGCAGGTGGATTAAGGTCCGGCATAATAAGAATGTGATGAATGAGCGCTAGCTTCGGTGAAATAATAATAAATTAATTAATTCTTGATTGTCAGTGATCGAATTAATTAATAGACATTATATCTTAAACGTGGGGAGATAAATCGAGTAATTATTATTAGAGTCTCAAATGTAATTTGGGCTAGGAAAAGGGAGTGCAATAATATAATGTTGGTGGCCCACTAATATTATTTAATTAATTAGAGGAGTGGCTTGGCCCACAGTTAGTCTAATTAATTAAGGAGTCCTATTCTTAATCTCTTAAGGGTCCCTACTGTAGCCCTATATATACATCATTAAGCTCATGAGAAGAGAACACATCTCATAATACACGACAAAACCGCCGCGCCTACTCTCTCTCTCTAGATCTCATTCGAGTTTTATCTTCTTCTTATTGCTCCACTGATACAAGTTGAAGGAGGGTATATTGAGAAATACAGTAGAAGATCTGTAAGTAAACCGAGACGAAATATATTATATCCTACAGAACTAATTGGAGGTCCGATCGACGAACGGAGCATACCCAGACGACCGTCTCGACGTCAGCTTTTAGCCGCCACCGAGACCGTCGTCGTTCGCCGCCACACGCGCCCTCACGTGCCGCCGGGAGGACTCTGGCTGCAAGATCTGTTTCATCCGATTGATCCGTTTTTCGATATGATCTTCGTGCAATCCCGAGACTGATCTGCGGTCAACCGTTTGTGGTCAGCCATATCTACATAAATTTTAAGCCGTAAGTTCTCTACGTCAAACCTTTAGATCCGCTGCGCATAGGTTTATGTTTGCTATTGAATTCGTGACTTGTACATAACGAGATCCTCACAGATCCCAACAAGAACCATGAGCCAGAACAACTAGTGGCAAGCTAGAACGCCGAGCACCAAGGCGTGGGATCCACGCGCAGGGCCTCGCACACATGAGCAGAAATTGCGCACTTATGTCAAAGCATTCTAAGCGCCGCGTGCACGACAATGTTACGCTAGCGAGAAATGGCCCTTCACTCCCCTTCCCAAGCAGCATGTGTGCGATCGATCTGGCTTTTGCACTCGTCTCGCTCACTACGACCCTCATGCCAGTGAGATATGCCATTACAAAATTGAATCTGGTCAGATTTTTTACCCCTTTTGGAATCCATACTTAATGGTAGGTGTGGGTTCAGTTTGGTAACCAAACCGATAAGGAATTACCGATGTTGAACTAAGATTTTCGGTAACACTGGAATGTAAACCGAAATCAAACTGACTTGTAGTCGGTTATTGAATTTTCAGTAACCGAAAACTTGGTTCGGTTTCTGTTTTATACTGAAAATACCGAACCAAAAGGGTTTTACAACATGCATGCCTGAACGGTGACATTTCCAACATGCATCTTTTACAACTGTGTGCTTTACAACTGTCATTTCCACTGTTCTCAAACTCCTCGGTCACAAACACTCGACAACCTTGGTTCTCAAACTCCTTGTGAGTTACCAGAGATGGATCCAGAAATTAAGAGTAGACTGGGCTAGAATTTTAAAAAAAAATCATAAAAATTACATAATATTTTTTTTCTTTAAATATTCACCGAAGTTGTGCTCGACGAGTTTCTACAAAACAAATCATTATGCTCATTTTGCACCGAATTTGATGTACTTTCACTAGTTAAACGTGGACCCCGTTTTCTAAACAACGATAATATCAATGGGGTTTTTCCTTTCTTGGTCCAAGGTTGGTGCTCCTTTGAATTTCCAAAAATTCCACAAGACAAATAAATAGATTTTTTTTTTTTTTTTTCGGAACGAGAGGAATTTTATATCAATCTCAACAAGAACATAGTTCGAATACAAATGCGACCCAAAGCCGAAATGAAAAATAGGGAGGACACGCTAAAAAGCGGCCTAGAAATCCCACATACGGGATGTAAAAGAAACATAAATCAAAAGAACATCGAGCTATACCACTGCTAAAGCCTAGCATGGCTACAATGTCCTAACCAAAACAAAAGAGACAGAAGCAATAGAAAGAAACAAAAAAACCAGCTAAACAAAATACAAGAAATACTAGGAGGACAGAGAAGTAAATTCCAACCAATCCCTTGTGGCCGCCATGATAGCAACTTGTGGCGGCAAACCTTTTCCTTCAAATATCCATAGATTTCGTGACTTCCAGAGCCACCAAAGTAAGTACGTTGTCAGTTGAATGTGCGCTTCTGCAATATCAGAGTTGCCTATGTTGCACACCTGCCACCACCAATCACAGAATTTTGGAGAACTTGTGTCTAGCCAATCCCATTGCACTGGACTCTTTTCCCAGAAATTTTTTGCATAAGAACAGTTGAAAAACATGTGACAAACCGTTTCAATACCATCACCACAGACTGCACAAATATGTTCAATGTTCAGCCCTTTTCTCAGCAGATTAGCCCTCACAGGAAGAGTATTGGAGCAACATTTCCAGATGAAGTGTTTTAGCTTTGTTTGGACTTTCAGCTGCCATGTTCTGTCTCTGGCTTTTCTGATAAGTTGTTGATTGCTGCTGGATTGAGGAATGTCTAGTGCTAACACCTTTTTATTAATGAGAAAGGAGTAGGTTGAAGCCACTGAGAAGAGACCTTTCCTGTCCAGGCCCCAAAACATCTTATCTTCTCTTGTTGGATTAAGAGATGATATTCTGAGAATTTTCTAACTTTCCTCATCACTGAAAACTTGAGTTATAAGCCATTCATTCCAACTGAAGCCACTGTCATTCATTAGGTCTTTCACCCAAATCAGATGATCCCTAGCAAGTTCCATAAGGTTTGGCTGAAGAGTTTTGAGAGATGGCACCCAATTAGCATCTGTGATTTTAGTGGCTGCACCATTCCCAATTTTGATTCTGTAACCTTTGGCAAAGGTAGGGATAACATCAAGCCAGCTGTTCCATAACCAGGAGCTGTTTTGGGATTTAACAGCTTCAAATATAGAAGAAGAGGGAAAATATCTACTTTTCAGGACTTTACTCACAAGAAGATGTGGCTGAGATGTGATTCTCCAGAGTTGTTTACAGATGAGGGCTTCATTGAAAGACTTGATATCTTGAAATCCAAGACCACCCTCAGATTTTGGAATGGTCATCTTGCTCCAAGCTTTCCAATGCAGGCCCCTTTCTTGATTTTCACCTCTGCTCCACCAATAGGCTGCACAAAGTCTAGAAATCTCATTGATGATCACCCCAGGTAATTTAAAACAAGCCATTGTAAAAACTGGAATAGCATTGATCACAGCTTTTATTAGCACTTCCCTGCCAGCTGGGGATAACAACTTGCTTTTCCAACTTGTGAGTCTGTTTCTGATTGAATGAAGGACAAAGTCAAAGGCCTCCTTTTTTGATTTGCCAATGCCAAGGGGCAAACCAAGATATCTGGTGGATTGGTGTATGTGGATACCTTGCAGCTGGTTATAGATCCTGTTCTGAAGAGAAAGGGGAGTGTTTTGACTGAAGAAGGCTGTAGATTTTTGCAAGTTCACCCTTTGCCCTGTGAAGATTCTGAAATGTTCTAGGATGGTCAATAGAGACTGAATTTGATTCAAGCTAGCCTTGCCAAAGAAAAGTGCATCATCAGCAAAGAGGAGGTGAGATAAAACCGGTCCTCCCCTGGAGATTTTGAGCCCTGTCAAATGACCCTCATTGATGGCATTAGTGATCATAGCAGATAGCAGTTCAGCCACTATTAAGAAGATATAGGGAGACAAAGGATCTCCTTGCCTTATACCCCTAGTAGGAAAGACTGTATTGCTGATGTGACCATTGACTTTAAATGCAAGAGAAGGTGAGGTGATGCAGCCCATAATCAAGTTAACAAAAGCAACATTAAAACCCATTTTGATCATAATATCTTTGATGCTTTTCCATTCAACTCTATCGAAAGCTTTCATGAGGTCAAGTTTTAAAGCTATAAAGCAACTGTTCCCAGTTCTGTGTCTGTTAAGGAAGTGGAAGACTTCTTGTGCTATAATCACATTATCCAACAGTTACCTCTCTTTAATGAAAGCAGACTGACAGGGGCTGATACAAGAGCTGATACATGATTGCAATCTCAAAGCCAGCATTTTAGAGATAATCTTATAAGTCACACTACATAAACTAATAGGTCTGTAATGGCCTATTTGTTCAGGGTTGTGACATTTAGGCACAAGAGTAACAAGAGTTTTGTTCCAGTATTTGAGAAGAAGACCAGAGGAAAAGTAGCTCATGATAGCTTTAGTCACATCATCTTTAATGATATTCCAGAAGTGCTGATAGAAAAGAGGGGTCATACCTTCCTCTCCAGGAGCTTTGTCAGGTGCAAGACTGAATAAAGCTGTGTGGATTTCCCCTTCTGTGACTGGCTTGAGCAGATCATTGTTCATCTCAGCATTTATTGAACAAGGGATGAGAGGTAGTAGATTTTCTCCACCATGAGACCCTTCTGAAGTGAAAAGGGTGTTGTAGAAGTCTGTGATGTGCCCTTCAATTTCAGCTTGAGTGTGGTAGGATGAGTTGTTAAGGTCCACTAGCCTGGAGATGGAGTTCTGTTTCCTTCTTTGTCTGACATAGGCATGGAAAAATTTTGAGTTCCCTTCTCCATGTTTGAGCCAGTTGGTTCTTGCTTTCTGATGCCAAAATGTCTCTTCCTGGTGATGAGCTTTGTTGAGATCATTTCTAGTCTTTTCCCATTCCTCCCAGACTTGGCCTCTCCCTTCACATCTCAGTTCTTCAAGTTTATGGGTAAGGGTTTGAATGTTCTTGAGATTCGGCGATTTGTCTTTTGAGCTCCAAAGAAGTAGAGCAATTCTGGTGGCTTTTATCTTTTCTTTCAGAATGAACAGTGGTGTACCTACTTGAGGTTTGGCCCAGGCTGTTTTAACAACATCAGAACAGTCATTTCTATCCAGCCATCTTTTGTCAAAAGAAAACCTTTTCTTAGCCCTGACTTGAGAAACCCCAGTATTCAGTAGAAGAATAGCATGGTCAGAGGCACTAGAGATGACATTTGTAACCGAGGACTGTGGATGAGCCTCAATCCAATCAATAGAAGCAAACCCTCTATCTAGTTTTTCTTCTACCAATCCTTCAAGATCTCTGTTGTTTGCCCAAGTAAAGGGGTAGCCTCTCATATTAATTTCCTCCATCTCCATTCTGTAAATAAAGGATTTGAATGGTAAAAAGCTTCTATCTCTTCTGATGTGTCCCCCTTTTTTTTCCTCTGAGCAGCAAATATCATTCCAGTCCCCCATGATGAACCAATTATCTCCCCATCTCGGTTTTTCAACTTCAAGTTCTTCCCACTGTTGAATTCTAACAACCTTATCTGTGCTCATATATACAAAGATGCCCCATGAAGCAGTGGAACCATGGTGTTGATGTCGAAAATCGGACGATCAACAATTGAAAAGTAATCGGTTTTCTTGTATGAAAAAATGAAGAAAAATGTGAAAAAATCGTGTTTTTCTCTCTATTATTTTGAGAGCATTTTCTCTCTTTTGATGATGGGGGAAGGAAAAAATGAGGAGAGTCCAACCAACCACCCCTACTCTCTCTCTTCTCTTGTGGGGGAAGGAAAAATGAGGAAATGAAGGGAAAAAACCCCTTTCTCTCTCCTCCCCATTCCATATATATACATCCCTCACTTTTACAAGTGAGTCCTTGAATAAGTAAAAATGGTACATCATTATTTTAAGGAGATGACCATCATGGGGGCCCACTTATGACGTTTGACGGCTTCGATTGACGTCTATCTGAGGTGGCTTCTGACTGATCAGTCTCGAGAACCTGTTTGTATATTTATTTATCGCGCATTTTCGGCTCCTCGATTATCGGACCGTATTTTATTATTTAATTTATCATTTATTTAATCGGAGCCAAATTAGGTATCAACAGGAGGCCCCCGAGTTTAGGACATGTTCTGATTGAACTGTTCTGAAGTCGCGTTTATTCTTGATAATTTGGCGATGTTTTCGCCTCATGATCTTTTGAGCTTCGAGCTCTTTTTATGGCGTTAGGATTTATGCGTAATGAGAGATCTTGGTGAAATCGCAAATATGCCGACGAGTGCGCGTGTCGGATAATTTTTGCGTGGTGCAAGAGATCACA